CTCTTGACCTTTCAACTTCCCCCTTCCCCTACATGACTATAACTTTCCTGACTTCAACCAAGCACTACCGATGGCATTTCATCAAACCATCATAACATATACACCCCTCAACCATTAATCTTAAGCCATGCCATTCCCCAACAAAGTTTAAAGCTAGATTCCACAAAACCAAGTGGATTTCCTTAACTTCAAACAAAACCCGCACTATTACCAAGTTCTTCAACCTACTCATACGCGGGTTGAATTTTTTGAACATTCCAGGCTTCCATAGGCATTCCCTCTGGCCAAAAATGTTTGCATGTTCAAAGCATGAAGGGGAATCCCAAATACATGGATCCAAACAAGAGTCTTCAACCCCACTTCTTAAACTACACCAACTAGCCGATTCCATTTTCCTAGTCTGAGATCCGTCTATCTTATTTTTCCCAATCTGAGATCTAGTGATCTTATTTTAATAGACTCTCAATCTAACACTCCCTCTACCTCTTCCTTTATACTCAATATAAACATAAAGAAATGGACATCGATTTTTCTAATTTTAACATTTCCTTTCAAATTACTTCAGTCCCCCTTGGCATGACCAATTACTTTAGCCCTATTCCCTACCTCTATTGCTCTATTCTGCTACTCAAGCATCTAACGATCTAACAGGTCAAACTCCTCTATAGTTCAAATATATTGGGGAAGATCCACATGACCCTCTTCTTGCAACAAGTGAAGCCAAACTAATAAGAGCCAGTGTCGAAGTCATCCAAGATGGTCTTAAACTCATTTGTGGCCCTGAACTCGGCCACAACCTCCTCTTTGGCTCGAGCTACTCTCGCATTGGCCTCTTCCGCCAGCTTCTTTGCTAAAGTAAGTTTCCCCCTTATCTCATGTACCTGATGACTCAATTTCTTGTTCTCCTCCTCCTTAGCCTTGGGTACGTTCTTGACCTCTTCCACCAGCTTCTTTGCCAAAGTCAACTTCCCCCTTAGCTCATGTACCTGATGGCTCAATTTCTTGTTCTCCTCCTCCTAGAGCTTGGGTATGTTCTTGGCCTCTTCTAGCTCAACCTTCATCGCTGCTCCGGTGCCCTTCATCTCATACTTGCATAGACCATGCAGCCTATTCACGACATGGGTGACTACACACACATTCTGCAGAACACAGAGCTAATAGAAATCCAAGGTCTATAAGTTACCAAAAACCTAAGGAAAGAAACATACTGCAATGGCCTCATGGGGCCAATCTTTTAAAGGACCCACTTGTGCGGCCCATGATCTCAAGCCTAATTTCTATGAGTAAAACCGCCTAAGTGAGCTACTCGGCCACACCCACCTTCTATAGTGTGTCCCCACGATAGATATTCCACAACGGCCAAAAGACATTATCCTCAGGTTGCCCCAAGGTCTAACCCTTTGAGCATCTCCTTGAAGTCACTTGTAAGTGGCTTTGGCCTGCCTAATGTTGTTCCTCAAGCTTGGCCACCCTTAACTTCTTTAAGGGCCTTAGTGCATAGTCCTTGACCCTCTATTGAACTAGGGACACTACCACATCCAACGGCATTGCCTTTTTCCTCACTACCACTTGCTAGAAGTGCCTCTTCCGCTACTCTTCATTGGGGTCTATAATGATGTTTGCATGGTACAACTAGATGGTTAGTACTTGAAAAAATAAGAAAATGAGAAGAAGAAAGTATGCCCTCAGCAAGCAAGCTTTAGAAATCAACCAGTCAGAGGTGGCAAAAATCCTTTTCGAACCAACATAGACAAGGCCAATGTCATACTATCCTTCTCAAACAGCTCTACAGTCTTTGGAGCCTTCAATCTAGTCTTCGAGATGATCAAGTTGGGCCCTAGAGACCATTCATCCTTATGCTTCACAAAGACCCCCCCCCCCCCTTTCTAGTGATAAACCAAGGAGGCCTCAATGAGCACATTCATGTTTGGCCAAGCTAAGAAGTAGTAATAGCCCTACTGGTGCTTATTCAAGTGGAGAAGACTATGGAAAATAGGAAAGGTCATCAGGATATCATGGATAATGCAAAAATAAAGAAGTCTAACTAGGTACCTAAAAGAGTTTGACATCAACTAGATGGGCAAAACTCGATGCCACCTCAACACGGATACCAACCATAAATTTAAAGGGAATCTAACATCTATTACCTAACTCCCCTTATACACATAGAGTTCACTCGACCTAGGTGAGTTTTCCCTCTCTCCATGCTCTAAACACCTCAACTCATACTCGAGAAGGATGCAATACAACTCCCTGATCCTTTGTATATCGGCCTCTCAAAGAATGCCAGGAACCAAGGCAAAGCACTCAAAGACCCTAGCTAGGGCCTCAAGCTCCTCATTTAATATCTCAACCTTGGTTTTCAGTTTGCCCATGGACCTTATCCAGAATGAAGAACTCGTCGAATTATTCTTAAACTTCAGGCTCCACTTAAGTCACATTCTCCTCAACCTCGACCTCGTTGGCATTAGCCATATCCTCCTTGACCTTGGCATTGTTGGCATCGATCTCAAGGATCATAGACCCCCAAATACGAAGATGAAGACATCTTACTGAAAATAAATTAAGCACAAAAGCACTAGACGAGGACGAGGATTAGTCGAACCATAAAAGGCACTCTTGCTCAAATGACAAAGTAAATGGCTCACCCCTCACCTTATATAGAGGTAACTAATAACCAAATCAAAGCCAATCAACAATCCAAATCAAACCCCACACTCCATATAAAAGTGTGAGTTCGGGAAGATGAAAATATGTAACCCATAGTCCGTCCATTAAAATTTCAAAATCTAAATTATACCATGTATGAACCATCATCATTACTTCAAATCATAAGCTGAGCAGCTCAACCAAGGCCCAAAATCACAATTGAGTTCCACACTCGAGCTTGTCCTCTAGACGTAGCCAAGCACCTTCCTCCTCAATTAAAGAATTAGTGGGGGTGGGGGACTAGTAACGAGGTCGTGCTACGGCCTGATTGACTTGTCACATCAGAGTTGACGTAGCAGAAGATCCAACCACTAATTCAACCACATCAGTAGTCCAAAGCATCATTGCGTGATAAAGGCAACAACCACTAAGAAAACCGAAGACATTGAACAAAGAAGAGAATGTGGTGGACAATGAGCCCTCAACAACCCCCCACAACAGAGTCGCAGAACCACCTTGGAACCTTAGACGAGAAAGTTGTATAATGATCATTTGATTCAAAAAAGTTTCATTATTGAAAGGATAGTATTGTCTCATCAATTATTAACAATTTTCTACACAAATGAACAAGTGATTTACCCGAGTCTCAAGAGAGAATTATTTACCCAACTGAACCACTCAAAAATCATTTTTTGTAGAACCCACTAATACTGAAATGTGAGAATGTAGATTTATTTCTTTCCCTTGAGACCCACCACCTTACCTGCCCCAACTTCTCAAAAAATGAATAAGAGGCCTTAGTGTATCCACATATATCTTAATTATGATTTTGAACATGTGTGAATTCAACTTTTGAAGACAATTTGTTCTCACTTGTATGTTTCCATTAATAGGAAGATGTTGCCAATGGACAGCTACAAGGGTTACGAGTACAATGTGACAATAGATTTTGAGGATGAAATTTGAATTCCTTGTGCATTCACTTTTTTCCACAATATAGGTGAGTATAGTTTGCTTTTTAAACCCTAAGCATGATTCCCCATCACCTTTGCATCATAGATGCACCCTTAAGAAAACAATGAAAATTATGAGTGAAACTGTGAAATTTCGTCCAATTTGTCAAGGCAATGTTTGGTTCAACTCATTCTTTCCCATTCTTACCCACGATGAAATTTAAAATGAACAAGAATGTATAAAAATGGGTAAAATTAGAAAATATAGTATGTACCAAACACTATTTTCTCTAAAAAATGAATTCTATCAAATTGGCAAGTGTCCTATGTTGCTCATTTCATTCTTACAAAAAAAGCAAGCAAACAAACAAACAAAAAAAAAAAAACCATTAGTGGTCATAAACCATCGCTGGATGGCCAGCAATCAATGCCCATTGGTATAAGCTTCCAAGATAGTCTATGGTCCACCAATTAATATTAATGCTGGTGGTTATGTAGATTTAGGCCGTTGGTTTATGACCCCTAGCATATATGAAAATGAGTGCATGACTATTTTTCATGCTGCAGGTAACTTCAATTTTTGTACCTTTTAACTGATTTTTCATTGAGAAGATTAAGGCCTGTGACAAAAATTTTGTAATCAAACACTAATTTTATTCGTTGTTACCCATTCTTGCCTAAAATGAGCAAGAATTAAAAAAAAAATGAGGCCCAGATCAGCAAACCAAACATGGCCTAAGCATCTCTGAACTCATGCCAAACGCATCAAATTCCTGCAACCATGGAAAAAGCTACTCATAAGAAAGAATATTACAGCCAACTTAAAAGAACATTACAATGCCTTGAGTTGAATAATTCTTGGTTTTCAAAACTAGACCGGACCAGACAATCAGAGAAGAAAAACCAGAAACTGGACACCTATCCGATTCCATTTTACCACAGAACTGTCTTTTGGTCAAAATCATTGATTTGGTCAGCAAACCAATGTCCCAAACGGTCGAACCATTCAAACCATCCAACAGTTTTTCGCCATTTTTATTTTTATCAGAACAGGCCGCCATTCAGTTCAAACAGTCAGACCATTCGACCTAAGAACTGGACCCCTTAACAGTCCGTCATCCGATTCAGTTTTAAAAACCTTGGGATAATTTATCCCAAGATCAACTAATCATGGAAAGTAATGATATTCTAATGCATGGAAGGACAAAAAAAAACAGACTCTAAAGATTCTTGGGAGAAGTACCGATCAGCCCAGCTCAGAATTTACTAGCCACGAAGTACAGGGGGAATGCATCCTGACCGTGAATTGATGCCAAATTCACGGGCAGGATGTGGTTTATAGGGGGGAAGAAGGCTAATCGTAGGGGGTGGCTGGAATTCAGAATTCTGCATCATGTGTATTCGTACTTTTCCCAAGATTCTTCGTATTGTACAAATAACTTCCTCATTGAGGCCACACCAGTTAAATAAACTTCATTTTTTGGTACAAAAGCGAAGCATAAACTTCAAAATCGCATTATAGCAGCTTTAGTTCAAATAAAAGCTGGCTTACCCAACACCAAAAATATGCTTAATTACATCTTGAAAAACATAAATATCAAACTATCATCAAGGTTATACTAAAGATGAGGAGAGTTGAACCCAAGCAAATTCTTCTTTATATCCCGTGCTTGCTTCACAGGAAGCCGCACATGTGTACGCGACAATGGTTGCCCAATCCAGAGAATCTGCATCATTTTTCACTCCAAAGTAATAAAGCAGCTGAGGCAAGATCTGCGCAGATCACAATATAAAAAACTGTAACTAGTGTGATAAAAAAATGTCATAGAACTTAGTTGAGAGATCCATAATGCAGATGGCCTAGTTAAGGTCCCAAATAAAAAGGTGGCAACAATTTAGGAATGTCCTCGGTTTTTACTTGATTGCATCCGCAAGGAATGTGCACTGAGAACTAAATAAATGAAAGTGTAGCAACAGGCAATCAGGAAAATGTAGAAGATACACGCATCACAGAAAGAACCAGATACCGAACCTGAAATTCGTAATGCATAGGGCCATGACAATAGTTGCATTTAGGAATGTCAGACTCTGATGGGCGGCCACTTGACATGGGCCACAATGGTTTTGCCTTGGAATCCCGACAATACCTGTCACAAATTAATGGAGGAAATTAACGGACTAGCTTGGTACAATCGATTTCCAAGCAACTAAATATTATGCTTGGTATTGATTTGGAAACGACTATTGCCTTGAAATGTCGACAATACCTGTTACAATTTAAATGAACAAGGAAATTAATTGACTATGATTTGTATTGATCGATTTTCTTAGCGACATTATTATTAGCTTCGTATCTACAAATGAACAAGGAAATTAATTGACTATGCTTTGTATTGATCGATTTTCTTAGCGACATAAATATTATTAGCTTCGTATCTACAAATGACGCATCCAATCCCCGCATGCAGTCAAAATATCTTAAAGACTTTTTTATGCTGCAATTTGTAACATTTAGTGCAGGCTATTAAAGAAAAAGCATGAGACAATGTCAGAATTCAGAAAACAAAAAGAAAATAAAAATGTATTATATCAAGGTTCAAAGTATCAATACACGCAAAATGCAAACATTGCACATCGCACGTTTCAAAGGAGTGATATGTAATGATTGATAGTGCAGGCTATTAATAGCTTGATTATTTGAATTTGAAGTTTATACTTTGCAGTTGGTACTTTGTACTTTGCCTCTGTGATTGTATTGCAATAATGGCTTGATGTTGCTATCTTGAGATTTCTTATCATTTTGGTTGATTTTGGTTGATACTCGACATATTCATAGGCCTTTTTTCTATCAATCAAGGAAAATTCATTTAGTGATTAAGGAAAATAATACAACAGAGGGAAGCTAAAGTATCTTAACTCCCCACATCCGTCCATGTATACCCAAAATACAAAATCAGTTAAAACTGGGCTCAAAAAACAGAATTCCTAGTCACCCCTTGCCTAGCTAAGCCATCTGCAAATGAATTTGCGCTTCTCTTAACCAATGTGCATTGAACTTCAATGTCTTTGGTCGGCCATTTAAATTAACTCTTTTCATTCCTATATTTCCAAAGCCTAGTGTTGTCTTCTTTTAACCAGCTCACAACTGTCTCTGAGTCGCCTTCTATGATCAGCTTGTTTAAACGCAAATCTTTGGCCCTTTAAATTAACTCTTTTCATTGCTATATTTCCAAAGCCTAGTGTTGTCTTCTTTTAACCAGCTCACAACTGTCTCTGAGTTGCCTTCTATGATCAGCTTGTTTAAACACAAATCTTTGGCCCTTTGAACCCCTTCCAGAGCTGCTAATATCTCAGCTCTCAGTGAGTCTCCCACTCCAATTGGACCAGAGAACAAGGCTAATACATTCCCTTTTTTTATCCCTTATAACTCCCCCTTTTCCAATAGGCCCCGGATTACCCATACTGCTGCCATCAAAATTCAGTTTAGTAAATCCAAGAGGTGGGAGGATCCAGAGGGAATTTGAGACCTTCCTGACTGAAACTGGATTTGCAATTTCCTTCCAGTTTCTTATCAAATCATCTAATGAGAATTCTGCAAACAGATCCAAGGTTTTCAGCCAATGGACTACCCTTATATGAATCACATCACTTCTACCACTACTTCCACACTTCTCTCCTTTTCTGAGAAGATCCTTGAATTTCTTTCTTCCCAAATGTTTATCAATAATTTAATTTAACTTGAAGTTTAGATATATCTTTTTTTCCAAGTATATTCTTCAACTTTCTGATTTTTTAAAGAAATGTCTGCCCTTCAAAAAAGCATGCGCCTCACCTTGCACCTTGGGTCATTTAGGCCCTTGGGCTTTTTTTCGCACCTCACACTTTTAAAACACTACTTCGCAACTTACACTTCCAAATCTTCATACTGCTTCGCAGATTCTTACTAACATTCCTCATGCCACCAAAATTCTCATTAATTCTCTCAAGCACCAATACTGCATTCTTCTCAAAAAATTAATCTACATTCTCCAAATCACCAACTCCATTTGCAGCCCCAATGATTCCAACCAAATCCAAGTCACCAGGAATATCATAAACCCCAGGCAAGTTCTTTCAGCTTCTTTACCCATCCCCTCCTTGGGCATAGAAAACTATCTTCCAATTCCCTAAACATTCTCCTTGTAAATTCCTCGTCCCTACAAGCCAAAGACCTAGAATCTTACTTACCTCCACCTTTGTGTTCACCAAGGTTTCCAAATCAATCGACTTTTTTTGAGAGAAGTATAATTGTATTAAATAAAAGGTCCTCTGTACAATGAGAAACTGTACAAAAAACAACCAAAAGGTCAAAAGAAGGTCATTCTCAAAAAAGTACAGTCAAAAGTATCTTCTTTAAAATCAGTATGTATAGACACCCAACTCCTAATAGCCTCTACAGCCGAATTGATGACCTTGGCTTCTCTAGAATCTTTGTGCTCAAAAATCCTGTTATTCCTTTCTGACCACACAGCCCACAGAACTGTCAAAGGGATGGACGACCAGCAGATTTTCCCTTTCTTAGTTAAACCAGGTAAATGCCACTCCTCCAACAGAACTTTAACTGAGACGGCCATGCACCAACTTAGATTCAGGGCCTTCAAAAAGTAACTCCACACTACTGTGCTGAACTCACAGTGTAAGAACAAATGCATAGAAAAACTCCACCACCATATTGCAAAGGCAGCAAACTACATCTGAAATATTAAAGCCTTTTTTAGTAACATCTCTTTGGACAGGCACCTCTCGAAAGCTGTTGCCCTCACCCAAACAAAAAACTTGAGTTTTGAGGGGGCCATATTCCCCCAAATGGCCTGACTTAGAAAAGGGACTTCATTCTTCCCCACTAGAAAGTTGTAAAAGGATTTGACTGAAAACTCCTGACTTATCCCACTTCCAAATCAATAGACTACATCATCATCATCATGGTTTCCAAATTTTTCTTAATAATGCAATATCATCATCACCATCATCTAAGTTTCCTACTTTGCTCCTAACTGTATGGGGTCAACTACATGAATTGTATTTTTTTCAATGCCATATCCATTGTCGAATTACAGTGCTTAAGTCATTCCTTACTACTTCCACCCAAGTCCTTATCGGTTTGCCCCTAGATCTTCCAACTTGTAACAGATCAATTCTTCTAACGGGTGTTGTAGATGGTCTCTTATGCATGGGACCAAACCATGTCTATCTAATTTCTTTCATTTTATCACCAATTGAAGCTTGCTCCTAGGTTCCTCTGAATGACTTCATTTCTGACCCTATCCTTTTTAGTTTTACCACTCTTTTTTTATCAGCTTTAGTTTTACCACTCATCCATCGTACGCCTTACTGCCACATCTTTTCAACAATTTGTTTCTTAACTAGCAAACTCTCTACTCCATACAACATAGCTGTCCTTAAAACTATTTTCAGGAGTGATGTTAAAGCCACATCACTCCATAAAATTTTCAAATTTATTTTTCATAAAAGCTTCAATTTCATCACTCTATATAATCATAAAAGATTAACATTTATTTTTCAAAAAAAAATAGCATTGTTATCCACTGTCACAAGGATGGCTCCCTCCATTTCAAAAGGAAATACCTAATTAAAGGGGTTTCTATGTGTATGTGTGTGTTTATAGGATACAAACAACCAAATTTCTCAAATTTCAAGCATGATTGATGAAAATTATTAATGCCAGATTACTCTCATTAAGACCACCTTAGACAATCTTCCGGTGTACTACCTCTCTATTTTCAAGGGTCCTATTTGGGTAGCTAAGAAGTTGGAGAAAATTATAGGAGACTTCCTATGGCAACTAAGGGGAAAGCAAGAAGGATAGTTTAATCAGTTAGGATGTTGTGTGCCAAAGGAAAGATCAAGCAGGGCTGGGGATAGTAAACATTGAGAGGAAAAATGAGACATTATTGCACAAATGACTTTAGAGACTTCCTATGGAGAAAGACTGTCTCTGGCACAAGGTAGTGATTAGAATCCATGGGCTTATAACCAATGCATGGGGCACTGGATATCCACAAGGTGTATAAGGGCTTTACCTTGGAAGGCAATTCACAAAATCCTTCCAGAATTCCTTTATGGTATCAGGCATGATATTTGCTCAAGTGATTCCATTTGGTTTTGGGAAGATACTTGGATGGGGGATTCCCCTCTGAATGAGAGGTTTCCTGGTTGTTTTCAATTATTATCCTTCAAAGAGGAGAAAGTACCCAAACTTGCATTCATCTCCTCATCTTCCCTTGGTTAGAACTAGGATTTAGGTTTTAGAAGAGGAATGAGGGAGTCGGAGATTCCAAATGTCATCAATTTGTTGAATATCTTGGGTGGGGTTTTCTTGGATCTATCTTCACCTAAACGTTATATTTGGGCCCATAGTCACTCAGGTTTCTTCTCCTATGCATCCTTTTATAGAACCTAAACCTCATAGTTGTCAAGGCGGCACCTAGGCAGGTGCCTAGGCGATAAGGCATTCTTGGAGGGTTGCCTTGCACAAATGCCTACATATTTATATGCAAGACACCACACAATATTTTTATATTTTTATTTTATGTTATTAATAGTAGTACAATAGATATTATTAGACTAAATAATTCATATTGTGGGTTTATAGTATTAATATTATTATTCTTATACTAGTTTCTTTTTTTTATTTTCTTATTTGCTTGGGTTCAATAGACACACAAGTCAATGACATAGTCTTGAACCCTTTAGGACTTTACAACCTGAATTGATAAGAAATAACCTGAAGATTTTATCCAACTGCACACAAGAACAATCAATAGGATCACCAAAACATAAAACCCTTTGTATGTTTTATTTCCTTTCTTCTTTTTCTTTTCATAAATATGTTGATTTTCTAGCTTTTGATATGGGTTTTATACTTATTTCATGAGAATTATAGTAATTATTAGTTAAAGATCACTACCTATTACTATGAAACCTAGGGATCTACCCTAGGATTAATATTTTTATTTAAAAAGAAAAAAAAAAACTTGTCACCTAGGAGACTAGGCAACAAGGCGCTCCCTATCACCTAGATTTGCCTTGGCACCTTGAAAACTATGCTAAACCTCCTCTCTCTTCATTTGTCACTTTCCTTTCCTGTCAAGGAAATCTAGTACAAACTTGCTCCTCCAAGATTGGGGCTTTTTTGATAAATTCAAGAAAAAAAGAGTTGGGGCTTTTTGCTGAGAGGCATATCATGGGAAGATCAGCACCTTGGATATTTTACAGAAAAAGAGACTTTCTTGGTGCTTGTCTCCAAACTGGTGTATCCTCTACAAAGCTAATAATACGAAGTTACCACCATTTACATTAGTAAATGGGTGCAAGTTATTGTCTCGTGTTTAGAAGAGTTTTCCCCCTTGTTTGGTGGGTGCAAGTGGAATGAACCATCAAGAATGCAAGCTGTTTTTGATCTTTCAACTTTTAGATGGCCAAAAAAGAGATGTAAGATGTTTGTGAAGGGTGACAAGAGCAGCAGTTGTACAGACCATATAGGAGGAAAGAAATGCTAGAATTTTCTAAAAGACAGATATTTGGAGGCTGTCATAAAATGTGTCACTATTAAAGTGATGCATTGGGTAAACCGGCAAAAGCACATCACCTTTTTTTCCACTTAATCTTCTGATGATATTGTTGGGAGGTGGGGTAAGTGGCTGGCAAAAATTACAAAAAAAAAAGAGAGAGAATTACTAAATTGTGGCCATTGCCAGAAAAGGGATACATCAAATTCCACTCTGATGGTAATAGAATGGGGAATCCAGTAAATTCAGTAATAGGGGGAGACTTCTGAGATGAAAGAGGCCTTATTAAGGCCATGTTCTCAGGGTATGGGTGGGGGACTCCCTAAAAACAGAACGGATGGCATTGATTCAATGCATTCGAAGTGCAAGAGAAATGAAGATTGGAAAGCTAGTGATTGAAGGAGACTCCAAGGTCATTGTGGGATGGTTAAAGAATGAAGAAGAAACTATGGACTTTCAGGAATGAAATCAAGAAATTCAAATGATTGACTTATGGAATGCAGGTGCAGGCAGGTACAACGGGTTTCAAGATCAGGCAACGCCTTGGCTGATAATCTGGCCAAACATGGAGTGAACAGGAGCTTTCTGCTATCGACAGAATTGTAAAGAACACAGAGAAAGCCTGTTTTCTCTCCCTTGATGTATTATTCTGTACAGTTTGATACTGAATGAAATAATTTAAGTTACTTATCAAAAAAAAAAGACATTGCATGGGAAATCCATAGAGTTAATCCAAGTCCAATGGCAGAACCAAATCTCAAAATCATATCAAGTATTGAACATGGAATGAAAAAATATTCATCAAAAAAAACATGGAATAAAAAATCATCATTGCAGAGATAACATGGAAGCATTCACCCCAATAAATTTTTTCTTATTTTTTTTGAAAAAAAGGATTTACCGCAATACTTGTTCAGGAGCTTTACTAATACGCTCTTGAAAAGAAGCCCAACTCTTTTTATCATCACTTCCCTAAAAAGCACAAAATTTCTTTTATATCATTAAAAAATAACAGGGTAATACATGAAACTGGATAGGAAATTCCAAACTCAATTGTTAGACATGTCCCTATCCTTACCTCAAAACTTTCCAATAATGAATTCACAGTTTCATCCATTTGGTCATTACAAACCAGTGAAGTTGAGTAGTTATTGTCTTCAGAAGCTTCTGTGTCGAACACACATTCATCTTCACTTACAATTTCGAACTCTGTCCATAAAGTATTGCCAGCAACTGCTATCAAAATAAACTAATTAGAACTCTACATTAAAGATATTCGAGAAGGGAAGAAGAAAGTAAGCAACTCATTCAGTATTGGTTCAGCCACTCGGTTGACCATTCTCAAGGTTATATAATTCTAACTACCAAATGAATGAACCTTTTTCAATTGGTAAAAGACTTATTATCCAATGAACTAACTGATGTTTGTTTGTGGGTCCATGTCTAAGGCTTTATGCATATGGCTGGAACTATCCAACTGATGCAATATTAATTCCATCGCCTATCATGAATGTGATCTAAAATTTGAAGGGTCTAGACCAATGTGCATCATCCTTTTGCAATGGAAAAAAAAAATCGAGAAATTTGCCCCAAAGTACTCCATCTGAAAAATATGCTTCTAGACTCAAATACAAACCTTTCCCTAAAATTTTCATTGAAGAGGTTGTGCTGTTACTGCTGCTAGACACAAGAGATTGACAAGAGATCCTTTGGCAGTCAACCTTATGTCCTGAGCGCCAATGCATTATCTACAATAACAAAAAAGAGAAGCAAGACATTTTCTAGGATGTCTAAAGAAACCAAAAGTTGTAGGAATCATTTCAGGCAACTGGCTAATTACCTGATGCTTCTCTGAGCAGTAGCGTGCAGATTTACAACTGCTGCAAACTTTATCTCCTTTCCATGTACCACACCAACAACAAAGTTCAGCTGAAAAGAAACCGCCATTGTACAAATAAGAACCATGGGAAACACAAGGAAAGCACTTTTCTATGATCATGTACAAATAGTACTCATTCACATGGTAGTCTGTGTCCAGACTTGATACCATATGTTTAGCCAGTAATACATTCATAAGCACTTATATGATACTTCTTCTGAAAACTTGATTAACAACCAAAAATACCATAAACCCTTCTTAGGTTAAGCTGCTAATGTTAAACCCTCCCAAATGGACATTAGACCTGCTTGTAAAAACCATACTACTAGTAGAACTGTAGAAGAGGCTGGATTTATTTTTTACTTCTTTCTGAAACAGAAGGTACATGGACAAGAAAGATATTAAGAATATGGTATGAGAATGCTAGTTCAATAAATATTCTCCATGAAACGAAGCAATACCAGAATATCCTAAAGCATTGATTATAAAACATCAAATATTAACAAATGATATTATGGCAAACCTCCAACTTTAGATGGCTTGTCAGTCCCATCAAATCTTGGGGGTTCACTTGAGTAGAAAGGATTTGAGCGACACAACTGGCAACGGAAAACCTTCACACTTTGAAACCATTGCAGTGTTAGAATAGCAAGCATGTTAGACAAAGAGCAAACAACTAAGAAAACATTGCATAATCACCTCCGAGATGGTTTTTCTGGTTGGCGTTTCCATTGCTCATGTTGGTCTTGGAGTAGACATGCCATTGATGGACACATGAACACAAATAATGTCCGATGGAATGTAGACTCCTTCTCAGAAATTGGAGCATATACCTAGCAACTCATTGAGCAGAAAGAAAATTAGAAAAACTAAGTTATTTTCTTCTTCAAATGTCAATTCATCTGCAAAGAATACAAGTATAGTTTTCCTATTGGAACATGTATGGTTGTACATAATAAAAGTTGCTTCAAATAGAGGGATGGGGACGCACTTATTCCCTCCCACCACCTATTTCAAATTAGGCTAGCTAGCTAATTTCAATTCCTGTAGTGCAACAAATCTGGAGGATAATTTTCAATTACTTAGTTACTCAAGTGGGAACAAGTCTGAAAACCCAAGGAAAAAGGAGGTTTAGGGGTTTTGAACATAGCTCTTAGGAATACAGCCTTGCTAGCCAAGTGGTTGTAGAGATTTCCCTTTGAAAGGGACAGGTTGTGGCACAAGGTAATTGACAGCATTTATGGGTTGGGAGATAATGGTTGGAATGCAAATTTATCCCCTCAATCAAATTCCTCCTCTCCTTGGAAATCAATTTTTGAGGTCTACCCAGTTTTCCTCAATTCCATCCAGTATGGTGTGGGAAATGGTAACAAAATCTGGCAGAAAGATGAAGGTTGCACATCGGGTAAAGTTGGTGGAAAGATTTCAGGTCTTCTCAGTGAATGAAATATTAAGAGCTTGGCCGCAGAGATGACATCGCCATCTCAAGAAAAAGAGAGAATTGTCATGGTTTGGAAACCTCCAGAAGGTACCAAGGTCAAAGTGAATTTTGATGGAAGCTCATTGGGCAATCCAGGTTTGGAAGGAAAAGGAGGTGTCTTCAAAAATTCAGAAGGCAGGGTTTGGTGGCTTTATATTCAGGACCTACTGTTGTTGCAAACTCTCTGAAAGAAGAAATATCTTCATTGATGCAAGGACTTCAATCAAAAAAACAACTGGGATATCAGCAGGTGTAGGTGAAGGGGATTCTAAAGTATGGGCAAGCTGCAGCAGTTATGTTCCGTGATCTTTCAGGCATGCCTTTATGGAAGTGTAAAGTATTTCCAAGGTTTTAAATGTAGATTTCAAGTGGGTTAGAAGGGAAGCAAATGGAATGCTTGATACCCTTGCTAAACAGGGGGTCATGAGACAGCAATTCTTTTGACCTTTATTGTAAAGTCTTTTCGTTTGGGTTGGCAGTCTTTTCACCACTTTCTCTCTTTAATTTAATGAATTAAACTATCTTGCTTTGCACAAAAAAAAAAATCTTATCTATAATTGGTGACTTCCAAATTTCACTTTCACTACAGAGCAATTGCAACCTGTCTAACGATTTCAGGAGACAAAAACATCATTTTGGAAAGGACAAATTACAAAATTAATAAAAAACCTGAAGTAAGAACTGTAGAGGCTCTCCACAAATGCCACATGCACGGGACCTTTCTGATGGTAAATCAACTGGATCTAACCATGCCTGCAAAATATGGAAAAGAAATTGTAAGACCCAATATAAAATTCTTTTTCTGTAAAAAAAAAAAAAAGAGATTGTAAGCAAAATAAAAAAAAAAATGCAAAGTTTACAACATACAGGCACACCTCCAGCCTTGCTAGGAAAAAAGTGGCGGAGAAGTGAGTTTGGACTTTTAGGCTTTTCAACAAAACCAAGAGTGACGGGTTCTTGCTCTTCAACTTCATCATCTTCTTCATTTTCTACCTGTGGGTCTTGTTCATCATCATGTTCCTCTTCAGAGTAGATATGAAGAGAGCCAAAATTCTCCACATGAAGACCATTTTCTTCAACCTCCATTTCTTTGGGCATTTATGGATTTATGCTTTATGTATACCCTGATTTGGACAAAATTATAATAGAAGTTTAATACCTGGTTTTATTCCTTTCATCATTATAGAAGCACTTTATTGAGCGCTGAGAATAAATGAAAACAACATAATACTGTTTCTTAATTATCAACATAAAATAAGTCTAATCAGAGCAAAATGAAAGAGAAAGTGATACAAAGCATGGCCAAACAATAAACCAATAATCAAGGTTCAAAGTATCAATGTGCACAATACAATGAATTTGCGTATTGTGCATTTCAATTGGCCAATACACTAGTATTAAGAGAGATAGAGAGATAGAGAGAGCGAGAGAGCGAGAGAGCGAGAGAGAGAGAGAGAGAGAGAAGTTTCAGGAAATGAATCACGGCATCTCTAGCAGGGGTATTTAGCATTCCAATGGCCTCACGATACAATATGATACTGATGTAGGACCAGCTCAGTTCTAGTCCTTAGAGAATGTTGAATAGTCTTCTTTGATCAGAATTTTATGGCTGTTGATAGCTGTAATGGTTTATTGAAGAAAAAAGAGAGAAAATAGCGAGAGAAAGAAGAGAAAATACCTGGAATCACTCACAGGATGCCTAGAATCATTGCCTTTTGTGTAAAACATCCATGCATATTCATAGACTCTAAACTCGTATAACCCTAGGAGTCAAACTGTTAGACTCATAATAGTCTTAGGTGTCAAACTGTTAGACTCATAATAGTCTTGGTCAAACTGTTAGACTCAATAATCCTAGTAAGACTCAAACTAAGCTTTCATATCCTATTTCAATTCAAAGAAGACTCAATAACTCTAATCCTACTTATGCAATGACTCTGAAATTTCAAACATAACCAAACTACAAATAGACAATCAAACCCTATTATTAGACTGATGAGAACCCAAGGACCGACCCAAAACCAGCCCGTTATGCTAATGGCCCATGACCACCGGTTACAATGGATTACACAAGAAAGAACTCCTGCCTGCATCCGAGCAGCTCCAAACCACGAACAAGGAAATCACAACCACCCGAGCAGCTCCACAATCGAAGAAATCATAACCAATTGTGTTTGTTGGAATTTGCAGTGTAACGGTTAGCTATAGTTAAGCCGAACCCTTTACCAAGAAACGGTAATAAGAATACAATCCTTCTATCTCTCTCTCTCTCTATCTATCTATCTATGGGGGACGATATGCTAATCTCAACTTTCTGGCATTCTCTGGCGAAGACCCCATCCCATGGATCTTTAAGGCAAAGCTATACTTTGAATCTCATGAGGCCCCTGGTCATCAGCAGGTAATTGTCACTTCACACCATCCTGACAGCAACACCATCCTCTAGTTCTAGTGGTTCTGAAGATCGCACCCACAAGTTTCATCGCGCTCAGGCCATAAATGCAAAATTCAACAAGTATTTCTCTTGCAAACGAAAGATTCTAAAAGAGAAATGGAGGTTCCCAACCCTGGAGAAGATGAGCCCACGATCACTAAAACTGATCTGGAGATATCTCTCAATGCATTAAATGGTTCGGCATCCTCAAGGACCATGAAGGTAAATGGACAACTTTGTGGATCCGGTGACTGTTCTAATAGACAATGGTAGCACTCTCAATTTTGTGGCTCAGATTCTAGTCGACCAACTAGTTATGGCTGTCCTCTATTATCCTTCCTTTTTCGTTCATATTGCAGATGGAAACAAAACTGTATGTGATGGTATCTGTAGAAATGAGAAGCTGTTCAATCAAGGCCATAAATTTACAATGGATCTCCACCCCCTAGAGTTTAGGGGGGCAAATGTTGTGCTAGGGGTGCAGTGGTTGCGCTAGCTAGCACCAGTAATGTGGAATTGGGCTAAGATGACCATGAATTTTGAACTAGGGGGGACTACCTGCCATCTGCAAGGCCTTGGCCCTCTGACCCTGGGATCTGGTGATGCCCGAACCCTATTAAAGTTGAGCCACGGGAACAGGTATCTGGTATACATGCATATGGGTCATGAATCCATAGGTCCAACTCTCAGCTTAGACCCAAATCGGCAACCCAGTGATCAAGATGTGGCCAACATGCAGACCCTTCTAAACCAATATAAGGGTGTTTTAGGGGAATCGGATCATCTACCCCCTGCTTGAGCACAAGACCACCATATACCCTTACTACCGGGGGCAGCACTCACTAATGTACGCCCCTACCGTTACCCACATTACCACAAATCAGAAATAGAAAGAATTATGAGGGAGCTGATAGAGAAGAAGCATATATAACCGAGCACCAACCAGTTTTCTTCTCCCGTGTTATTAGTAAACGAGAAAGACGGATCCTAGAGATTTTGCGTGGACTACAAGGCCCTAAATAAAATTACCATCAAAGATCGGTTCCCGATTCCGATGGTTGGGGTACCACCAAATAAGGGTCCACTCGAAAGATGTACCCAAGACAGACTTTCGCATCCACAATGGTCATTATGAATTTCGGGCTATGTCATTTGGGCTAACCAATGTGCCCTCAAACTTTTCTAAGGCGTTTCATATTGGTGTTCTTTGACGACATTCTGGTATACAGCCGTGATTGGTCCACACACTTACAGCATCTTGAAAGTACTTTAGAGGTGCTGCAAGAGAATGGATTCTATGCTAACTTGTCCAAATGCACAATCAGCCAGACCAGGGTCCATTATTTAGGCCATATAGTCACAGCAGGACAAGTTATGGCCGACCCAAAGAAGATTGCCTGTATCCAGGTCTGGCCTATTCCCATTATAGTGAAGGCTCTCAGAGGTTTTCTCAGTCTCATAGGCTATTACAGACATTTTATTCCAGGATACGGGTTGATGGCAGCCCCATTAACTCAGTTGTTGAAGCGGGACTCTTTTATTTGGGGACCTGAAGCTCATCAAGCTTTTGAGAACCTGAAGAGGGCCGTATCCACACCGCCAGTTCTGGCCCTACCAGATTTCAATGAGACTATTGTGCTAGAGTGTGACGCCTCAGGGATTGGCTTAGGCACAATTTTGATGCAAAAAGGGAAGCACCTTGCCTATTACAGTAAGGCCTTGACAGCCCAAGCCCAAAATCATTCTACTTATGTAAAGGAACTTATGTTTGTTGCCTTTGCCATCCAGAAATGGCGGGCCTATTTATTGGGCCGGCATTTCATTATTCAAACAAACCAAAGGAGTCTCAAGTTCTTGTTGGAGCAACAAGTCCACACAAAAGACCAGCAAAAATGGATCTCGAAGCTTTTGGGGTATGACTACTCTATTGAATACAAACCTGGGCCCACCAATAAGGCAACAGATGCCCTCTCCAAGGTAATCAATTTTCATCAATTGACGAGCTCCCAACCCATTCACCCATTATTTGAAGCAATCAGGTTGGAAGCTCATGATGCACCAAAGTTGGCCCAAATACGAGCCCGTTATCAGCAGGACCCAATCGCCGATGTGAACATCGGAAAATGGCTCACTTTGCCACTTGGACTGGAAATGGAGTCGCCACCCATCAAATTAGGAAATGGAGGTGATGGGACCTCCAAAAATAATTTTTAAAACGCTTTGTTTTAATAGTGACTCCAAAGCCCAAGGCACCGGTCCAACCAGTCTAGGTAAGACTTGGATAGGAGAGAGAAGGGGTTAGGCACCCCTCTCCCAGATCCAATAGGTGGGGCCCACATGGGGTCCAAAACAAGTAGGGCTGCAAGTTGGGCCGGGTTAGGTCGGGTTGAGGCCAACCCTATGTTCCAAACCCCCAACCCTAACCCTAACCCTAACTAATTCCTTCAACCCTAACCCAACCCAATGTCAACTTCGGGTTGGGTTGGGCTCGGGTTGGGCCCAACCCAACCTTTCCATCCCTTAAAATCTAGTAGAAAAATAAGTATTTGTTTACCGTGAGTTATGACTTATGATAGTTTTTTTCTCAAAAACATAAATTCATGAAATCAACAATAATGAAACACAAAATTATGGAAATAAAATCACTAATAACAACTCATAGGATCAAGCAAATAATATATTAGATAGATCACTCACACATAAAAATTACAAGACAAAAGGAAAAGACAAGTAGTCAAGTACATGTGAATAACTTAAAGAAAGGAGGCTATACAACTATCATGCATCTATATAAATCAATGTATGTTATATATAATTATATATATGACATGTAGTAGAGTTGTAGACTAGTAGACTAGTAGTCTAGTACTATAGGGGGCTGGGTTCGGGTTGGGTCGGGTTGCCTGAGGGGTCAACCCTAACCCAACCTGAACTAAGGTCGGGTTCAAGAATTTCAACCCTAACCCTAACCCGATCATCAACCCGGCCCAACCCAACCTGACTTTTTCGGGTTGGGTTTGGGTTGGGTTCGGGCCAACCTAGCCCAAGTTGCAGCCCTAGAAACAAGCATAGACACAAAATATGCAACTACATGAGCAAATTGATAGAGATAGCAAATCATAAGAACAACCATCACAAAAGAGAATGTACCTTATCAACATTTTTTATTGTTTCTGTTTTTTCTACATTTTCCTTTTTTATTTTTTTAACTTCTATTTATTATATTACTACTTTTTTATTTTTATAGTTTTTTATTTCTTTACAGAACCGTGTTTATTTATTTGTTTATAGTATGGATTTATTATTTTTTTATAATTTTCTTTTTTATCTTAGATTTTTATTTTCTTTTTTCTCTCTTTTTTTTTATTTTTTTTGGTAGCTTATTCTTCTTTTGTTCCTATCTCCCGAGCTAACCACCTAGCTTTTTGGGACCAAACTCATTATTAGGGATTCTTATTTTTCCTCCTTTTTTGTATGTAATCATATTCTTTTTTATTCAAAATGAGCTAACCACCTAGCTTTTAGGGACCAAACTCTTTTTATTCTTTAATGTAATCATAGATGAGGGATCACATCGGTCCCTTCACATCTTACTATTTTTTCTTTTTTTTTTCTTTTTTGTGTATTTGAATTTTCTGCATAACTGCATATCCTATTTATTGAGATCAATTAGAGTGAATGGAAATCTCACACCTAACGTCTTTTCACTTTCTGATTGACATACCACAACCCAGCCATTGCAATCCTAGAGATTGAACCAGAATATATTTCCAATTTGGACCATTATTTAAGCTAAGTGAAGACAATAATACAAAAAACACGCCAAACTAAAGATTAGTAACTGGCAAGAAAACATGGCAAAATTCTCATAGCAGATTTGATAAACGGTAATGGTCAAACAGTTAAAGAGGAATATTACGCCCCAAATTAATCAAACAACTGAACAGAAAAAGCAGGTCCTCGGTTGATTTCAAACAGGGTACATGCGATAAAAATGAACAGGAAGAGAATGGAAACAATCGCTTTAATCAAGCAAAACAGACGATGTTAACAAATGGGGCGAACATATGCAAAAACTCTTCTCATCACCGTCGGCAAGGATTTCACAGAGACCGGCTCAGTGGAACTTCATTGCCGTCTCTAATGGCAGATAATCGAATGCTGTTCAGCAGGAGGTGAGAAGAATACAACAAAATAAGATAAAAATGGGAAAAGTGAAATCACAGAGGAGGCAGAGACATACCTGAATCGAGATTTCGGCCGGAGAAACGATGCTATAGGGGACTTTTAATCCGCTTCGATCATGAATTGTTAACACTCTAATGGTGAGGATTTTCTTGGATTACGATCGGGATAGCAACTGGTGTGAAGACGACCTTCAACCCCAAGGTTCAGCAACCAATTTACATAGGATTTTCAGATCGGCTCTACGGTATCTTACCCAGTTCGAACAACAGAGTTCACAGATGGAAGGAGATCAGAGGAATGGTAGTAGAGCGAAAACAAAGAAAACGAGGGAAGTAAATAGGACCGGTAGAGGTTGGGTTTCTGCTAGAATTGAGTGGGGAATGAAAGGGAAGTTGCGCCGCTGTTGTTTGCTGGATCGAAGACAGTGAGGATTTCGGGGAGATTGGAAGAAGAAGAAGAAGAAGAAGAAGAAGAAGAAGAAGAAAGATAAGAAGAAGAAAAACGAGGAGAAGCCTGAGAGAGTGAAAGAGGGAAGTTTGCCGCCACTCTACCGCCGCTGCTTCTTCGTTCGAACGGGGAAGAAGAGAAGACCCCTCCTTCGAATTTTTTCGGACTACCTCCCCTTTGGGCGAATGAAACTTTAGGTTGAATTTATAATGGGCATCAGGGGTAACTTTTTTTTGGGTAATTCGGGGGCGTTTCGTTAATTTTGATAAATTGGGTCAAATCGGGTACAGGGGTTGAACCGGAGTTCATGGTGGATGGTTTCGGGTCAAATAAGTGGAGGATTGAGATGGGTCTGACCGTGAGAAGGGAGGGTTTTGTGTAAGTGGGCCAACGAGATTGGTCGAAACAGAATCCTTTTAGGTGGAAGGGTAAATGACGGTATTTTTGGATGAAATTTGGCAAAGCTGACTTTTCGGGCATTCTGGGTTGAACGGTAGGGTCAGATTGGTCCAATTGGACCCGGATTTAGCAGATCAAGAAAGGGCTCAATTTAGCTAATTTAGGGTCTTGAAACGGAATTTTTGTGTGATCGATGGACAAATAAAGGAAGTTTTGGGTGAAATTTTACAGGTGGGTATTTGGGGTGTCCAAGATCTGATGATGAGGTTTGATCAGTCTTATAGGGTCAAGATTGTAGGAATTTGGCTCAATGAGATGTTTCATAACAGAATCTTGGTTTGATGGAAAGGCAAATGGAGGAATCGAGGGTTGAAACTTTATGAGTAGGTGTTATGATATGTTCAGAGTCTAAAGGTATGGTCTGATCGATTCGGATGTGTAAATCTTAAGGTAATCTAGGTTCTGAGTGTTTAGGCTAACAAGAGGGGTTGAAATGGAATCTTTACTTGAAGGATGGGTGAACAGAGGAATATTGAGATCAAATTTCATGGTTAGGTGTTTTGGGAGGTCTTAGGCCTCGTGGTTGTGTCTGATCTAATGGTTGATGTGTAAGTGGGGGTCAATCGGAGCCATCGGGTTGGTATTAGGTAGGTTTAACGATGGATCTGAGGGATTTTGGGCTAAAAGTTGGCTTTTTTGGGTTTTGGGGTGTTTTGAAGAGGTTGAATGGGTTTGATCTGGCATTTGAGGTAAATTTGAGCTTTAGGCAGTAGATTAAGCAAAAATCAAGTGCTACCAGTCATGCCAGGATACACCATGATGGACCAAGATCTACTATACAAAGGATGGTACATGTTGCCTTCCTCCTCCCAACACATTAGTGCTCTCTTACAACTATTTCATGACTCACCACAAGGGGGGCACTCTGGTGTTCTAAGGACTTATAAATGACTAGCCTCACACTACTATTAGGTTGGAATGAGAAAGAGGGTCCAATAATATGTAGCTGCCTGTTCCACTTGCCAGCAGCAAAATTATGATTCCCATACACCTCTTGGATTGATGTAGCCTCTCAAAATACCCGCATAGGTGTGGGAGGAGATTTCTATGGACTTCATTATGGGGTTGCCCAAGTCCAACAGGCAGTCAATTATAATGGTGGTTGTCGATTTACTTAGAAAATATGCGCACTTCTTAGCACTTCCGCACCCCTACACTACTGCAATGGTTATCGAAGTTTTTATCAGGGACGTGGCCAAATTACATGGAACTTCCAAGTCGATTATTTCGGATCGGGATCTGACCTTCCTTAGACAGTTTTGGAGGGAGTATTTCCGACTTCAGGGGACTGAGCCATTTCGGTCCACTAGTTATCATCCACAATCTGATAGCCAAATGGAGGTGGTAAACAGGTGCTTTGTGACATATTTAAGATGTTTTACAAAGGACAAGCCACAACAAAGGGTCCAGTGGTTACCTTGGGCCGAATATTGGTACAACTCTACGTACCAAGGGGCAACAACCATGACTCCCTTCAAGGCTGTGTATGGAAGGGATCCCCCCACCATTCTGCCATATGAATTGAGGTCCACCAACGTGGCGGCCATGGAGACACAATTGATCAACAGAGATGAAGTACTACAGGAGCTTAAGTTCAACCTGAATCGGGCCCAACAAAGGATGAAGCGTTACTATGACAAGAAGCATCGAGAGATAAAGTATGAGGTCGAGGAATATGTCTACCTAAAGCTTCAACCCTACCGTCAGGTCTTAGTAACAAAGAGGAATTGGCCAAAACTAGGGCCTCGTTACTTCGGCCCTTACAAGATTTTGGAATGAATTGGACCGATTGGTTATAAATTGGAGCTTCCCCCCACCTCACGCCTTCACCTAGTCTTCCATGTATCCTTGCTCAAGAAATGCACCAGCCCACAATCCATCACCAACCCAACATGTTACTGAGTCTAAGCACATTACAGACTTCAAATGGATTAAGAAAGGGAAGCGATTCATCCAAGAGGCTCTAGTAGAGTGCGATGGGCTACCTACAACCAATGCCACTTGGGAGCCTTACTAGGAGTTGCAAACTCAGTTCCTTGATCTCAACCTCGAGACCAAGGTCGTTCTGAAGGAGGGAGGAGATAATAAGAACCCAAGGACCAACCCAAGCCCAGCCCATTATGCTAATGGCCACGACCACCAGTTACAATGGTTTACACACGAAAGAAGAACTCCTACCTTGCACGCGAGCAGCTCCAAACCACGAATGTGGGAATCACAACCAACTCCACGATCAAAGAAATCGTAATCAACCATCTCTATACAATCCAAATGTCCAACTAGAAAGAAATTTCACCCTTACCTAATAACCAATATTAATTTTCCAACTTGGTAAAATTTAAGTTCTTGCAAGTTACAGAAATCAATTGGGGGCAATCAATTTGAGAGATGTGGGAATTATGTAGACATTTGGATTTAAAAAAGAGCCCATAATAACCTTCCATAAAGAGTGTTCCAAAGGGCCTTCATGCGTAACACCTTATTAACATAAAAAATTCTGCGTAAACTAAGGCCCCCTTGGCTTACAAATAGTTTCCCAAGGGTATTTCTTACTTCCTTTACTATCAGGCCAAAGGAAATCAACAAGTATTTTGTCAATTTTCCAAAGGACTTTTCTGGGGGTAGCAACAGCTAAAAGAAGATAAACTGGAATGCTAGAAAGGACACTTTGGATAAGGGTAATTTTACTACCAAAAGAAAGAAATTTACCTTTCCATCCTATGACTCTTTCAAAAATTTTCTCTAGCAAATCATCAAACATTTTACTCTTGTACCTACCCTTACAAATAGGAAGTCCCAAATAGGTAAAAGGAAGAGCTTTTTGAATGAATCTAATACATCTCTCAATTATTCCAATGCGAAAAGCCACTCTTATTTTTGTAACACAGCTGACTAGAAGCTTGCTCATACTACCTAAGGAAATTCATTAAACATGATAAGGATCTCTTTTCCCCTGTAGTAACAATCACCATGTCATCTACATAGAGAGAGTGAGTAATACTCTAACAACCTCTAGGTAAATGAAATTGATGAACCTGATTGTTGACCATCAACTTCCTCAAGCCTCTACTTAAAACCCCCTTTTCTAAAATAAATAAATAAGGGGAGAGTGGATCCCCTTGTCTAATACCCTAGGAAGATTTAAAGAAATCATGCGAGATCCTATTAATTATGATAGAAAACCAGAAATTTGAGATCATCTGACTAATCATCTTAATCCAATCATTAAAAAAGCTAAATCGGCGCAAAACCTGAAAAAGAAAAGTCCACTCTAGCCTATCATAGGTTTTAGCCATGTCCAACTTCAAGATAACATTACTCCCCAAAATTTTTCTGTCAATTTCCTGTGCTATCTCCTACACTAGATAAATACTATTCATTATGTTCCTTCGTTGTACAAATGCACCCTGTTAATTAGAAATCATATTAGGCATAATAGGTTGTAAAAAGTTTTGCCAAAATTCTATAAATAAAATTTCCAATAGGGGTGTTCACATTAAATATCAAACTGACCAAACTGGCCCGACCTAACCCGAGTTGATCGATTTTTCAAAACCACCAGTCAGTTTCAGTTTGTGTGAGAAAATAAACCGACAACGACCCTATATGTTTTAAGTAATTACTAAGTAGTCCCTACTCAGCCCTACTTCCTATCATAGTAAACTTTAAGTTTTAGTTATTTATTACCTTTTTGGATTTAGCAAGCATTAATGCGAAGAAGTCTTGGGAATTGGAATGGACATATATGTTGGATTGTTGGAGTCTTCACTCTTCAATTTTGGAAAGAGAAAAAAAGAGAGGTTAAATAAAGTTATTTATTACCTTTTTGGGTTTAGCAAGCATTGCTGTCAAGGACTCCTGAAAATTGGAATGGAGAGACAACTATTGGAGTCTTCACTCTTTAGTTTTGAAAAGAGAGAAAAAAAAGAGGTTAAATAAACCGACTAAACTAATAAATTGACCCTTCATGTTTGGGTCCGTTTTGCTTTGGATTAGTTGAAGAAAATGACTCAAACCAACCTAACCTGACCTATGAACACCCCTAATTTGCAACACTAATGAGCTTGAAATCAACAAAAGTGATTGGGTTTTCCATTTTGGGAATCAAAGAGATCAAAGACGAAGTAAAATCTCTTGAAATCTCACCACCTCTAAAAATATAATAGATGGCTTCATAAACATCCATAGCAATAAGATCTCAGTAACAAACCAAAAAAAATGACTAGAAAAGCAATCGGGTCCTAAAATTGCATCTTTATTAATGTAAAAAACTGCACCCTTAACCTCCTCAAGGAAGGAACCATCATTAGTCTAGAATTCTCTTCAGAAAAAATGGACACATCAATAGAAGATAACATATTTGCATTCTAGTCACATTATCGGCAAACATAATTTCTGAAAAATATGTCACAACCCCATTACCAATGTCATCTGGAGTCAACAACCAGTTACCGTTAGAATCCTGAATTCTATGAATAATTCCCCGTCTTCTTTTCACTTTAATTGAGGCATGAAAGAAAATCATATTTTTGTTTCCTTTCTTCAACCAAGTAAGCTTGGACTTTTGGTGCTAGAAAATTTCCTCCATTTTCAACTAATTGTTTAACTGATTTTTAGCATTATTCAAGGCCACCCAGTTATATTTGAAAGGGTCTTCCATATGAGCTGACACCCTAACCAACACCAGATCTTCAACCTGTCAGACATTTTGATGAATATCCA